CTAATAAAATATGCACCCTATCCTGGTAGGTCTTCTACCACCTAGGATACGTATAGGCATCCAACCTTAGGATTAGTGAACTCTGCTTTGCAATGGAGACATGAAAATTTTATCAGCAAGACTCCAGGCATGGAACAATATTATACATTCAAAGTGAGAGGCTCACAAAGACACCAAGGTACACCGTTGTCCCCAGCATTCAGTTCCTCACAATGGCCAACAATTCAGTCCCTTCACAAGCAGGGAAGGATGGTAGGGAACCTCCCCTCACTGGAGTTTCCATGGAGTCTGTGAGAGGAGATTTCTGCCACTAAATGCTCTTCCCCAAGTCAGAGTTTTCCATCCTGGGTATTAAGTGTTTTCTTCATAAATACAGGTCAGCCTACATTTTGATGGAAGAGAAAACTCCCATGTTCTCAACATTAAAAAAGGAAATCAGCTTGCACATGCTTTTGGCAAGTTCCCATAACCTGCTCCCCACTTAACACTTTAGGAGTAGATATTTTTTCACCCTGAATCTGGATGCAGCCGAGCTTGGAGTCCTTGGCCCAACTGGTCCAGCTGAAATGCCTGAGCCAGAGCTGTAGACAGAGGACCTCTGAGCTGCTCTCCCACCATCCTCCAGGGGCCGAGCACCATTATTCTTCCCCAGGCTGCCTCTCTCACATGCCTGCTCTCAGGGATCTTTAGATACTTCCTGTCATGTGCACTGAGGTCAGGCTCTACCACGCCTCCACAGAGTGCAGAGAATACCCATGGGCACGGTAGAACTTCGCTCCGAGAGACAAAGAAGCCATGTTAGGCTTCAAAGTCTTCCTGTCTCAGGATATCCTTACAAACTCTCTGAATGAAAGTCTGGACTTGACTCATGAACAACCTTTCACCTGGAAGGTCTTGGGCTGCAGGTCATTAGGTGAGGCTAGTTTTAGCGTGTTTGGGGAGATTGGTGTGGGGGCAGCAGAGGCAGGGAAAGAAGGTGGACACAAGTCAATTGCCAAATCTCCCTGTTCTCCACCTCTCCCTCTTTCTTGTTTCTGAACAGGTAGAAAGTATTCTGGAATACCAACCCCTCACTACTTCCTCCCCACCTCCCTCACCCCCCCATTTCCTTTGTTGTGCTCCCTCATCTGTGTCCAACCTCCCCTCTTTTCCTCTCTTCCACTCCGACATCCCCGAACTCTGGCTTTCTCCCTTGCCCTTTCCCCTGCCCCTCCTTCCTTTGCTCACCCCCTCTCCTTCTACCCATCCTCACCATAGGGACACTTCTGTGTTTGCCCTCCTTTTCTGTGTCTCTCTCCCCTCCCTCTGAAGCTCTGTCCATTCTCTGAGTTTTACTGATGTCCTGGATGCTTCACAATCACCTGTGAGGCCAGGATCTCCATTCTGGTGTCCTTAAGTCCGGCTCTCCCCTTCCAGCACCAGGGCTGTGTCTGCCACTGCCACCCGGGCATGCAAGATCTCGTCTTCTTAAACTCAGTGGAGAGCACGGCTCCTTTCCCCTGCTCCCAGACACTCCTTCTCCCAACTTCCTTTCACCGTTAATGGTGCCACCAATCTCCCAACCTTCCAAGTTCAAAATTTGAAGTTACCTTGATTGACATTTCAGCCAGTCATTGAGTTTTACTGATTTTTCTTTAAATATCCCCCCTCTTATGTATTCCTCCCACTCTGTTCTCCTTGCTGCTGCCTTAGCTCTGGCTCTCACGACCTCAACCTTGATTATCTCTGTAACTACTTTGCTGCTCCCACTTCTCTCCCCACAGTCCAAGGGCTGGATGGATGGCAGAAGGGCATTACTGCTCTGGCAACCTGGGCTGGGGGTAGGGAGGGTGCAAGCATGGTCAGGGCTGATGTACAGACCAGCTGTGTTCTCCCCTCACCATGCTGCCCCCTCTGTTGACCCACCAGCAGGGAGGAGGGGCAATAGCCATAATTTGATCTTCAGTTATTCTGCAAATACATACTGAGTCCCTGCAATACCCAAGCCTGTCTTAGGAACTGAGATACAATAATGAACAAAACACACATTGTCCCTGCCTCATGGAGATTACTCAGTCACAGGAGAGATAGAAAGTAAATAAACATGGAATGTGACAAGAAGAGGTAAATTGTAGGACTTATGTATCAAGAATAGAGCCAAGGAGGGGCGCCTGGCTGGCTCAGTCGGTTAAGCGTCTGCCTTTGGCTCAGGTCATGATTTCAGGGTCCTGGGATCGAGCCCCGCATTGGGCTCCTTGCTCAGTGGGGAGCCTGTTTCTCCCTCTCCCTCTGTACCTCCCCCAACTCATGCTCTCTCTCTCTCTCTCTCTCTCTCTCTCAAATAAATAAATAAATAAAATCTTAAAAAAAAAAGAATAGAGCCAAATAAAGGGAATAAAAATTGACAAATGGCCAACAAACACATGAAAAAATACTCAGTATCATCAGGGAAATGCAAATCAAAACCACAACGACACAGCACTTCACACCCACCAGAGCGGCTGTAATAAAATAAAAATAGAAAGTCACCAATGTTGGCGGGGATGTGAGGACACTGCAGCCCTCATCCATGGTGGTGGGAAGGTGAAATGGTGCAGCTGCTGTGGGATATGGTTTGGCAGCTCCTCACAAAGCTTAACATAGAGTTACCATGTGACCTAGCAATTCCACTCCTACATACTCACCCAAAAAAATTGAAAACATGTGTTAAAACAAAACCTTGCCCATGCATGTCACAGCAGCACTGTTCACAGTAGTTGAAACTCAAAATGTCCATCAAATGCTGAATGGGTGAGCAAAATGTGACATATGTAGACAATGGAATACCACTCCACCATAAAAAGGCATGAAGTGCTGATTCATGCTACGTACATAACACACGTTATGGATGAACCTTGAAAACATTATGCTAAGAGGAAGAAGCCAGATCCAAAAGTCCATATTGTATGATTCTGTCTATATGAAATGTCCAGAATAGGCAGATCCACAGAGACAGAAAGCAGATCAGTGGTTTGGGGGTCAGGGCCTGGGGGGCTGGGAGAATGGGGACCAGATACAGGATTTAAAGGGTATAGGATATCCCTTTGTGATGACGGCCACACTACCTGGAACTAGATGGTGGTGATGGTTGCCCGACTTCATGAAGTTACTAAATACCACTTAATTGTACACTTTGAAAATGGTTAAAAAGGTAGATTTTATGTTATGTCTCTTTCACCACAACAAGAAGCAAATAGGGGTGGTCACAGGCTGCTCCTTGAACAGGAAAGTCAAGGAGACCTCTCAGATGAGGGAGAAGCCTATCTGAGAGCCGAGGCAGGAGGGTTTGAGCCTCGCAAGTTACCGGGAAAGGCAGGGAGCCGCAAAGCCTGTGGTGGGCTCTGAGCAGTATTCCCGTGATCAGACCCCCTTCCTCGTTTCATTCCTCGGGCCGACAGCACAAGGCTCCTTCTGTGCCCAGCACCTCTGCCTCTCCCGACCTAGCCCGACCCTGAGCCTCCCATCCCCGCCGGCACTGCTGCGCGGGCCCCCAGCCACGCCGACCCTCCCCCCTGCCCCCCACCCTCTCGCCCACGGAACTGCTCTTTCCGGCCCCTTGGAGGCTGCACAACCGTTTGCGGCCCAGCCGCGGACCGCTTCTCGCACACGTTTTCTGATGCCTGCCAGAGCCTGAGCACCAGCAGGCCTGAGGCTTCGAGCATAGTCTACTGCTTAGCAGCCGCATGAGGCGGGGCATCAGCACCTCTCTAGGCTTCAGTTTCCGGCCCTGTAACATGAGGGCTGTCGAGAGAACAGTGAAGCAAGATGAGTACAAAGTGCTGAGCTTAGTACCTGGTGCGTCGTGAGCTCTCGGGAATGGCGGCCGTGTCATTACTTCGACGTTTCCCACAATCCGAAGTTTGAAATTTAGCACTTCATTTTGTACTGATAGTATCTGCTAATTATTTACTGTACAGAGGAGTCAAAATATACAATAAACATGGCGATGGTATTTACTTTCCCCCAACCCTGGTGCCTATTGCAATACAGACCATATCTATCACACTTGAATAAATGTTTGACTGACCAGGGATTGATTGACTGATTGATTGATTTGGCTCTATCACCAAATAGGAATATAATTTTCTTCAAATTAAAACATAAAGGGAAACATGATCTAGGAGCGAGGGGAAAATAGGAAGGGAGGGAGGGAGAGGGAGAGAGGGAGAGAGAGAGATCAGTAAGCAAACACCTGGTCCAGCCAGGGTGGGATATATTGAAATATTTCATAGGCATAAATGTTTGGAAAAAAAAATGCATAGTTGAAGAAAGACCCGGAAGGGTGGTGGCAAATTCTTCCGAAAAAAATGGCTCACTCTACAAATGAGTTATTTTATTTCCAGATGCCATAGTTACAGGTGTTCAAGGAAAATGTTAATACATTTTACAAAAGATGTAAGACAAATCTTTAATGTTCTACCACCAGAGAAAGACATGAGTTTAAATATATTTAAAAATGAGATAGCAGAGCTACACTTCACAACAATTTAGAGGTGGGAGATAGACAGGGCATGGTGGCACCCAACTACTCGAGGAGAAAGCAGCAAGGGAAGGTGAATCAGTTTAGTTCCATTCGGTAAGAAGATGTGATGCCCAGATAGGGCTGGGCACTGCTGCGGGGCATGCCGCTCACGCAACCTACCTCCAGACGCTACACCGAGCGAGTAAGACCAACCCAACTACTGTTTCCTATTTTCATGACCTGCACATGCCCAAAGGTGGTTTGTTGCTCCACCAAGGAAGCACATCTATCCCCCCAAAGCCCCAGCCCTCTCTCTCCGCCAACAGAGAATCACCACTGCAGTTTTCTCTGAGCGATTCCCAGGTCACACTTTACTCCCCTTGCAGAGAAACAGACACAAGCCCCGTTCAAGAGTCAAAAGCTAGAAAGCAGTGGGTTCCTTCCAACGCCGACGGACACAAGGATCTTCATCAGTCCCCCCCCCGCAACAAAACAATGAAAAAGAAAAGAAGCTCTTTACCTGACCAGATCCCTGCTTTCTTCCCGAGAGTCTAACATTGAATATTGAGAAAGCAACTCGAGAGCATCTTCTTGAGACTTCCTTAAATCCCAAAGCTGCCTCCGATAAGCAGCTCTAAGTTGGAGCTGTGAATAGAGGCTGTGTGTTATTTTAACCACAAGGTTTCTAGTCAGTAGGGAGGAGAGATGGAAATGAGGTAGGTTGGCAAGCAGGAGCGCCATCCACCTCAAGTGAAATAAGCTCGCAGATCTGATGTAAGCGCTCAGCGACAATTTGAAGAACCCTCAAACCCACTTTTCCTAAACTAGAGGTTAAATAACTGTGGAAAATTCCAAAGGAGTAAGATAAGACACTTACGGTCTTTTCTAAAAAAAGACACGTTGGTATGCCCTGTCTGATACTGTCTGAGGGGCAGCCCGGCACAGAGCTGGTCCGAGGAGCCCTGGGCGTCCGCTGGAGACGGGGTCACCTGGAGACAGCTTTGCTTCCCCCAAAAAAGAGTCTTCTGGGGGTTAAAATGTACAGGATGTCAAAGGAGCATAACCGAGTCACGTCTTTTGTGAGGAAACAAAACCAGTGTCGTGACTGACAATCCATGTGAAGTTACAGGGTAAGGGGAGAGCTATTCTGGAATATGTTATTATGAGAGCTTAACATGTGTGAGTGTGTGTGTGTGTGTGTGTGTGTGAGTGAGTGTGAGTGCGAACATGTGTATGTGTTCTCACTTCCCAAACAACTTAAAAAAAAGCAAAGATCCAGCCTCAGCTTAGACCAGTTGGAGATCTTCCTCCTTAGTGTCTTGGCAAATACAAATGCCGCCTTGGACTCAGAGGAGGAGAATGATTTATCGCACACAGATCAACTGCAAAAACTAGAGCTGCCGAAATGGCCAGAGTCCTTTACTGCCAGCCCTTCACAGATGCCAGAGGGGTTTAACTCCACTTTTGGAAAAACTCAGCAGTGCTCCCATTAAGCAGGGTCATAACTCAGTTTTATGTAGACTCTTTCATCTCAAAGGAGCTTGAGGTGGGTTTACCCCAAAATATAAATTATCCTGTGCACAGTCACCTCGGGGATGAGCTCCTGCCTAGCAGCAGCTGGCCTGGACACAGGCAGTCCATTTGGAGCCGCAGTGAGACAGCAGGCTGGTGGCCAGGAGGCGCTCCGTGAGGAAGAATGAGTGGGGCCTGCCTTCCACCTTGGCCCTCTCCTCCCTAGAGCTAAGACCTCTCCGAACTGCGCCTCACTTTCCTTCCTGAGCCCTACCCCCACCCTCGCCAGTGCCCTTCCCCAGGACCTGCAGACACAACCTCAAAACAGACCTTAAATCACAAACCAGGAGTAAATGATGACTGCATTTTCAGATCTGATCCCGTAGAGCTGGGGTTGGCAAAGCATGACCCTTGGGCCAAATCCAGATGCTTTATAAATAGTTTTATGGGTACACAGCCAGACTCACTCATCTAGGGACCGTCTGTGGCTGTTTTGGCTCTTCAATGCTTTATAAATAAAGTTTTATGGGTACACAGCCAGACTCACTCATCTATGGACCGTCTGTCACTGTTTTGGCTCTGCAATGTTTTATAAATAAAGTTTTATGGGTACACAGCCAGACTCACTCATCTATGGACCATCTGTAGCTGTTCTGGTACTACAACAGCGGAGTGGAGTGGATGTGGCAGAGACTGTAGGTATGTTTGTTTTTGAGGTGGGAGAAAGGAATAAGGAGTCTCTTTCAATAACCTCTAAAGATCAGCCTAGGGAAGACACACCTACTCATACCAGCAACTCCAGATTCAGGCCCTGAGTCTCCGTTTTAATTTTTCCTTTATTGGAGAAACTCTTTTACTCAAGCATCACCTTGGTACACTGCCCCAGCTTACCTAGCTTCATCCCCGAGAAACCACAGTGGCTGTGTCCAACTCTTCTCTCAATAGAAGTCTTGGACACACCCTCAGGCCCTCTCCATGTCATCCCCAAATGCCCCTTGTCTTTGAAACCCTCTCTGGGCCCCTCCAGAGTTAGTTGCTCCCTCCTACAGGCTCTCATCATGTTTTGTTCATTTTTGTCTTGTATTTCTTATACTTACATGCCAGTGATCTCGATGCTTGCCTTTCTTACCACCCTGTGCATTTTCAGAGAGGAAGAATGATATCTTATTCAACTTTTTATTCCCAGAACCTAATGCCATAAAAGACACATCAGTGGACACTCCATTAGTGGTTACTACAAAAATAACTCAGGCAGTCTTACTCCACTGGAACGTAATCTCAAGCGAAATGAATGAAAGGTTGTCCGATATTCCTCGAAAACGAGATGTTCCTGAGATAGCTTGCCCAGGGATGACCCTGGCTCTGTCCTTTTAACACTTGCCCCTGAGTGGGGCCCACTCTTACACCTTCTTTGTTAGTTGTTCCTTTAATTTTGAATTTGTGGAAGAAGAGTCTCCTTGCAGGAATATCAACTGCAATTAGGAAAAGACAATCTTCGTAACAACTAGAGCTGTTGGAAGACCTGGAAGGATCTGGCACTGGGTGGAAAAGAGGCAGTGTATTCTCTAAGCTCCTTTCTCGTGATAAGATTTGGTAAAGCCTAGTTTCCCTGGTGTGACCCCATCAGAAGACAGAGCTAGCACATGACCAAGGGCTGCAGATTTGCCCCCAGCAGGTCTGGGGCACAAGAGGAACCAGCCTTCTCATGTGGCAGGGGCCCTGGCACGGTACTATCTCAGCAGCTGTACCACCAACCCTCTTACTTGTACCCTTTTTCATGGTCAAAAGGGTGGCAAGAGCTGATAACATTCTGTAGGAAACACAAGTTGGTGATGTGGATGTAGTGGACATTTATCCCATGCGTGGCCACTCAACATCTTGTGAACACTCTTCCTTTGGTGAACTTGGGTTTCCCTCATTGAGTCCTTGTCTCAGTCTGCTCGGGCTGCCATAACAAAAGACCACCGACCAGGTGGCTTCCACAACAGAAACGCATTCTCTCATGGTTCTGGAGGCTAAAATTCTGAGATCAGAGTGCCAGCACAATCAGGTGTGGCAAGAGCTCAATTCCTGGCTGGCAGACTGCCTGGCCACCTTCTCCAGTGGCCTTTCCTTGGTGTGTGTATGGGGACATCTTTTTTTCTACTTTCCTCCTCCTGTAAGGCCACCCATCCTATCAGATTGGGACCCCACTCTCACGGCTTCATTTAAACTTACGTACCCCCTAAAAGCCCAGTCTTCAAAAACAGTCAGGTTGGGGGTTAGGGCTTCACCAAAGGAATTTTTTGCAGGGGGGAGGGGAACAAAATTCATTCCATGGTAGTCCCCTTTCCTCAAAGTAGAAGCCAGACTTTCTCTTCCAGCCTCCTTTGCAGCTGGGGTGTAGATGTATGTCACAGGCTGGGCATTTAGCTGCCTCCAACTTAGTAAAGACCAGGAGGAGGCAGGAAAAGGGTTGAATCCACTCTACAGGAGGTCGGCTCCAGTTGGCTGGAGTCATCAGCTCTTAGAGGCAGCCCCGAGGAGGGCCAGTCATGGGGTCTGGTACAGACTGTTGGGTGAGCCCAGGGACCCGGCCCTGCGTCCACAACAACAGCTCCTCCTCCCCGCGGCAAAACTTGTACTGTGCTCCCTCCTGCTCCCACAGCTTCCATGCCTGACACTGGGCTCCTAGAGATTCTGTGACCTCCTAATAGTCTACGATACATCATTTTTTGGCTCACAGTAGCTAGAGGTACCATTTGCAACTAACAACGCACTTGTGTATGGCTGATCTGGGTACTTAAAACCAAACCATTTAGTTCCCTTTTGCTTTCTTGTCCAGCACTTCCACAGGATAGTGAATATTTGGCAATGTGATTTTGTACTTATTCTTTGCTTGTTTGCCCTGGGGCTCATTCCTCATCTTTTCCCAACTTCACTTGGTAGCAGAGTGGTGGGAGTGGGGAGTGCTCACCCCTGCAAGTTGTGTGTCCCAGACTCTTGAGACACCTGGTTTCTAGCTGGGTTCAGCCAAGGAGGAGCATTGTGGGGAGATTGGAAGGCTGGAGGGAGGAGAAGCCAGGGCGTTTCTCCCCGTCTCTCTGTGCCTTGGATAGCATCTCCAGCAGGGGTGCGTATCCTCCTCCGTGACTTTGACACTGTTGGACCAGGCGCCCTGGGCCCAACTTCTACCAGATGACCCCGGCTCTGTCCTTCAGCCGAGGGATAGAAGTGGCTTCCCGCCTCCACTCATCTCTCAATTGCCTCACCACTGCCGTTTGGCTTCTTGGCTTTTCCATTACCTGTGTCACTACCTCGTTATATTAAATGTCCTCGGTTTTAAATGCTTAGAGTCGTACTCATTTTCCTGGTTGGACCCCAATTGATACAGCTATCTATACCATCTCTGCTTGAGGTCAAAGAACCAACACCTGCCCGGGGCTTGAGTGGGACGCTGCCGTGCAGCACGTTCATTCGGTTGGGTGGACTTCCTCTTAGCACTTCAGACAGGATTGTGTCTCCACAGTTGACAGTCATGAGGCAGGTGCTATCAGGCTATCTACAGAATTCTTCTGACCTTTTCAGAGAACAAGAAACAACATTCAAACAGACTTGTTGATAGAAAAAGTCATGATTAGAAACAGCAGCTAATTCCTTGACTCACTGACCAGAAGATCCCATGAGGATAAAGCAAGATAAAGCAGAATGGGTCAGCAAAAGCTGATAAATACTCAGGGTGTGGGGAATTTAGAAAACTCTGCCTGGCTTTTAGAAAAAAAAAATTATAAACACTTTTTCCTTTAATCTACAAGGGGAAAGAAGACTACATACACAAGGTATTTGTGATGTTATTATTTATTAAAATAAACCTAAATGTGCAACAGTAATAAAATTAAGATTTTCATCATGAGATGCTTTACTCCGTGGGCTAGTTTACAACCAGTAGCAAAAATAATTATGAAGGTGGCATAGCAACTTGGGAAATGTTCAAGGCAGTAGTCAATAGGAAGAACTCACAGAGCCACATCAGCTTCTCTGTGATAAGAGACATTTGAAAATCATGACTGTGTATA